ACTATATATAAAGTGTTTTTCCCACGGCACACCTTACACTATGTCACGGCACACTAGTGTGCCGCGGCACAGTGGTTGAAAAACACTGATCTAAACTGTTGGTGATCGTTGTGTAAAGGCCGTAAATTGTTTAGAAACATAACACTCAAGGAAGGACACCTTCGGGATTTATTAATATAGATATTAAGGTCTGCTGAGGATTTTCCCCTCAGCTTCTACTGCTGAGACCATTAGAAACTGTCCATCATGTGAAAATGGATAGGAATGCCATCTCACCTATGTCCCAATAAATAGAATGAATGCCCTCATCTCAGGTGTAGCTAACACTGATATTACTGTCATTTCATTAGCATCTTAAAATCTGAATATTTTGGAAACACTTGGGCCATGTTAACACATAAAGGGTGTTGTCTGTTTTACATGGCAGCTACTATTTTACTAATTGCACTATAAAGCTATAATATAGAATAAAAAAATAAGGGGGAAATGCCTAGAACTATTCTGCCAATCAGCAGAACTGATATGTAGTAATATTTCAGAAACAGTTGAATTCAGAGTAATTTTTTGTTAATGAATCTGAGACACAGAAACTATTGCAGAGTTCCTTTTAAGCAGTGTTTAATGTGTGAACCACTGGGGAATCCCCCCTCAAACCATTCCTGGCTCCATGAAATTAACATTTCCTGGCCCATGTTACATTAAAATCCCAAACAATCATGAGAAGCAATAAAGCTCTTTAGGGGCCCTTTACAATTTGTAAAGGAAGTGGGAAGGGCTCCTGAGATTAAAAAAAAATTAACAAACATAATTTTACAGTATCAAACATACCAGTCTCTAATTTTTCCTTACTTCACGAAGAAAAATTAGGGAGTGAAAATGTTTGGTTTAAAGTTGATATGCACTGTAGGTCAGTAGCAGGGATCAGATTTAGCAGATTTTATAATATTTTTCCAGTTCTCGGTTATCTAAATCACAGCTGAATAATCTCAAACTAGATGACCCCCTAAAATGTACCAATGAAACTTCAGCCACTCACTGTAACATTATAATCAAAACAGAGAAGAATCTTCTAGACAAGAGGAGCTGAGGGCCAGCACTAATTCTATTCCCAAACTGACAAGGCTGTAATCTTTTACCCGCTTATCTAAAACCCGAGTACAGCTTCTCAGAAGATATATGTAGAACTACATCACAAGCCTACCCTCCTTTAGGTACAGAATCTCACTAGGTCATAAAGACAGTTGGGAAACCTCTGGCCTGGCAGGTGTAAAACTCATCCCAGCATTAGCCAGTACAGCCAATAAGGAGGAATGTTAGGAGTTACAGTTCAGCAAAACCAGAGGTTTCAAATAAAAAAATTCAAGCACATTTTCAAGACACAGCTGAGGCTACAAAACAAAGAGATTTTAAAAAGGGAGTTATTACTTGCCTTCGTTGTTCTTATTTAATACATTCAGACAGTCCTTTGCTTCCACATATTTTGTTTGTACCACCTTAAGTTGTGCAATGGATGAAGAAAGGAATTCAACTTCCTGTGGAAAAAAAACTCAGCAATGAAGACCACACACTCAGCTTCCAAACAATTGTTCAACATTTAAAACAGTCTTAGAAAATTTTTCACTGTACTATTTAGTGCACTGAGAGATGAGACAATTATTTTATTTAAACATGTCTGTTCTGTTCGTACCGAAAAGTTTTAGCATCTTTTTATGACAAAGTGACACCACCGAGCAGATACATTGCAAGAAAATGATGGAGATGTTAGGGCTACATAGCTTACAAGTAAGGTCATTAACCACAATTTCCTCTTGCCCCCAATGAAATATTTTGGCTTTTTTCAACATAAGGCCATGTGGGAAGAACCAGATTACAAGCATTTCCCTGTGTGGCAGCATAGTGTCCAAATTAGGGTGGAGAATCTGTGGCTGTTGTTAAAATTTCCAACCATATTGTTGATGTTGAACAATGTTGTGAGCTGTAATTCAGCAACATTTGAAAGGGATTACAAGAACATCTAATGTTTATCCACTTGCCTTAAAATTGAGCAATGAAAATCAAAGCATCTGGTTCCTTAAGGACTTCATTAGTGAATTGAAACGTATAATTTAAAGGATAACAGGACGCATAGGGAATGAGTGACGAACGTTGGCTCAAATCTTAACTGCATACATTTTTGCCATATAGTCTTCTATAACCAGTCTAGTGGACAAGTAAACTGTATAAGATTATCATATAAAGCTGTTATCTTTTTTTTTCTCTTAAAAGAGGAGAACATAGACTTCAAAAATCAAAACTATAGTTCTGGGATTCTTAGAAAAATTAGAATAGGGTCTTAATCCCAAGAGTTAAATTTAGTTTATTCACAACGTATCCAGTTAAAACATACTTTCCAGATGGATCCTTTCCAGCTAGATCCTTAACACACAAGGCACTTGGAATGGCCTAACAACAGAATCACCCACTTACTAGCCTCACTCATTTTAATCTTACATGAATTTCTCTTTCCTGTTCTCCTTCATATATCATAGGCATTAAATTAGGAAATAACAATACCATCTCTCACTCCCCACCCCACTGCTGCCAAATACCTAATACTCAAAGATGCCTGTTGTGAACAAAAGCAACAGTTGACATGCATAGCAGGTTACCATATATACCAATGGTGGGTTGCTGGCGGTATGCCCCAGTACGGGCATACCGGTACCTGCCCGGAACACCGGGTACCGTTCCGATACGGTGCTCGAAGGGCCCACCCACCTGCCCGTCATCCTTACTCTGCTGAGCAGCTGGAGCGTCGCAGAGACTAGCGGAGGCGTCGCTGGAGGGTAGGACGCATGCACGTGCCGTGCACGTTTATGTGGAGGATGCCGGGCCCTGTTGCACCGTACCAGTTGCATCGGGATCCGGAACCCACCACTGGTATATACAATATAAATCTGCCAGACAGAGACATGGTGTAAAGGTAGGAACATGAGTTTGACAGAAATTTTCAGGAATTGGAACCTAGGCAAAAGGGGCTAAAATGTATCTTAGGTCCAGAACAATGAGATAACATTCGGAAGCAACTTAGATTCTTTCTTAATTCACTGGATACATGGAGGAGGAGGAGGAGGAGGAGGAGGAAGAGGAGGAGGAAGAAGAGGGACAGCACAGCCTTGTTATTATAGCTAACCTCAGTCAAAATAGTTTTAGCCTTCCTGTGGAGTTGATTTCTTGGTCTGATCTACATGTATTCCTCAATTAATGATCACTCATTCTGCAACTGTTTCAAGTTACAATTGCTCTGGTACTTATAACCAGTCCTCAAAGTTGTGGCTGTTGAAGTATCCTGTCACGTCATCCTGATTTGGGCACTTAGCAACCAGCTTGCACTTATGACAGTTGCAGCATCCCAAATCTTGAAGGGCTTGAACCATGCCTCCCCAGCCACTTGTGCACACTCCCCAAGCCTTGCTGCACTCATGCCGTACCTCCCCTGCCACTAATGTATCCTTTCCCATCTGGCAGCAAGTACACCAAGGCTTGCCATGCTTGCGCCCGCCACCATTCATGCACCCACCCAATCTGACAGCAGCCAGCCCAAGCCCTGCTGTGCAACACACCTCCTCAGCCATCCATGCACCCCACTTTCCCATGCGAAAGTAGCCACTTACCCAGCACTTGCTGGCTTGCTTGTGAACTACCTGGGACTTGGCAATTTCTGCCTCTTTCCCCACTGACTTTGATGAAGTTGGCAGGAAGTTGTGAGGAGGCTCTCACTTAACAACCCACAATCCTTTCTTAACAACAGCAATGGGAACTGCAGGGATTACTGTAACTAAGCAATGCGGTCACATAATGTTGCATTTTAGAACCGCACCACTTAGTGACAGAAATTCTGGTCCCAATTGCCCATCATAACTTGAGGATTAGTTCAAAGAACCGTGACCGAGAGTAAATAGAGCATTTTATCTCCTATTGTAGTTTTTATTTTAGCTTGTTTAATGATTGGATTAATCCCATTTTACAATCCTTTCTTGGACATTCTAATCAATTTTATATTAAATATCTTCTTTGTGACCCAATTGTTAATTGCTGTGGCAACATTTTCAATTAGGGTTATTCATATAAGATAGCAATTTGATTTTAATTCCTATACAGATATTGGGGTTAGGATTAAGGAAGTTTACATAATAGTGGGTACTTCAAAATAATCTTGTTATTTTGTTATTGTTTGTCGATAGTTTACATAATCTGACAGATATAAAGTTTAGCTAAAAATACTGTGTTAAATTTAATCACTTTTATTTTGCTGTGCTCATCTTTTATTACTTTAGCAAATGGTCTGGAATTATGTACCCATGAATATTACTATAAAATGACCGTTGGCTTACCTGAACGGTCATTCTCTGGGCACTGCGGGAGAGTCCAAGCAAAGGTTAACACAGACTATCTGCCCTAGGACTGAGTAGATTTTTCTTTGGCCACGCCTCCTTTGCCTCCTTGAGGTCAGTTTAAAAATGAAGTCTTGTCCGCTGTAGGACGCCCTTCAGGTATCCCAATCGTAATGTCGAACCTTGGACCTTCCAATAAACCCTGGGCGGGTTTGGACTCTCCACAGGGTCCAGAGAGCGACAGTTCAGGTAAGCCAACGGTCATTCTCCTGTGCACTGCTTGGAGAGTCCAAGCATGGGACATACCCAAGCTATTTTGTCCCAGGGAGGGCCAAAGTCGTGTCCAGATTGTCCGGAGCCAAGACAACTTGCTGCAAAACACGTCTTCCAAAGGAGGCTACGGCTGAGGCAAAGGTGTCAATTTTATAATTTCTAAAGAAAGTTGTGGGGGATGCCCATGTAGCAGCTCTGCAAATGTCAATGATGGTTCGCCCAGGCTGTTGTAGTGGCGGCACTTCTTGTGGAGTGTGCTGTCACACAACCTGGTATGGTCTTGCCTTGATGTTCATAAACCATTTTGATGCAAGCCCGCAGCCAACGCCCAATGGTTGAGGATGAGACTTTACGACCCAACAACCCAGGCTGAAACAACACAAAGAATGACTCTGAATGTCTGAAGTCCTTACTCCTTTTTATATATGTGGACCGCTCGTTGAACGTACAGCTTGTGCAAGGCACATTCCTTGGGGTGCTTAGGCCTGGGACAAAAGTTTGGGAGGATCACCTCCTGAGATCTGTGAAAGTGAGAATTCACTTTTGGTAAGGAGGGATCAAGACGCAGGATGACCTGATCATGATGGACGATACACAGTTCCTCCCTGACAGAGAATGCCGCAATCTCTGATACCCTCCTAGCAGAAGTAATTGCTACTAAGAAGGCAGTTTTAAGAGTCAAGAGCCGAAGACTGGCAGTTCGCATTGGCTCGAATGGTGTGGTGGTCAGGACTCACAGAGCATACGGTAAGTTCCAGGATGGGTACCTGTGTATCGCCTGAGGCCAAATATTGGTCGCACCTTTCAAGAAGCTTCTGACCTGAGGGTGTTGACTCAAGGACTGATGAGTGTCTCTAGCCAGTATAGTTGACAAGGCCGCAACCTGGCGATGTAGGGTGTTGGGTGCCAAGCCCTTGTCCAACTCCTCCTGAAGGAAGTCCAAAGGTTGATGGCCGCTGAAACATCTACAATGTCACGCCACTTGCACCAAGTGGAGAACGTGGTCCAGGTCGCATTGTAGATTCGTGTTGTAGATGGTCGTCTGGATGCTTGAATGGTCTGGATGACCTTGTCGGATAGGTTTTGTTTCCTCAGGAGCTCACCCTCAAGTGTCATACTGCTAGTTGGAGCCACTGGGGCTCTGGATGACTGATGGTCCCCTGGCTGAGGGAGATCTGCTCCTGAGGAATTCTCCACGGCTTCTGTGCGGACAGATCGACCAGATCCGCGTACCAGGACCTCCTGGGCCAATGCGGAGCTACTAGTATGAGTTCCGCCTCCTCTGCTAGGAGCTTGGTGATTACCTGCGGGATGAGCGGCAGAGGCGGGAAGGCATACAGGAGACCTCGGGGTCTCCTTCCCCTCCGCCTGGAGTGAGTGGTAGCATGAGAAGAATCTTGGTAGCTGCGTGCTGAGTGCCGTTGTGAACAGATCGACTTGTGGCTGCCCGAACAGCCACACTATATGCCGGAACAGAGTTGGATGTAGACACCAATCGGAATTGTCGATCGTCTGTCGGCTCAGCCAGTCTGCCCAGACATTGCTGATGACGGATATGTGATCCGCTCTTATTGATGGAGATGTCGTTCCACCCAACGGCCCAGGGCCTCCACCTCTGCCATGAGCCTCCTGGAGTGGGTGACGCCCTGCCGGTTTACATGTGCCTTTATTGCAATGTTGTCTGTGAGTAACAAAACAGGGTGACCCACCAGTTGGGCTGAGAACCGTCTTACGGCGAGCCTGGCTGCTCTCAGCTCCAGCCAATTGATGCTTCAAGCTGCCTCTGTCCGCGACCATCTGTCTTGTGCCAGTTGACCTTGGCAATGTGCTCCCCAGCTGTAGAGACTGGCATCCGTCGAGTTCCTTGAATAGACAATTCTTCTGTA